ATATAAAGGAAAAGTTCATATTTAAATATATAAAGAAAAAATACTGTAAGAGGTTCCAGATTAAATATCAGTTTATTCAATTACAACACAATAAGAAAAATCTTAACCTCATCTGAGAGTCTGTTCATTTAAATTCATAAAAAAACTTAAGGTTTGTCTGGTGATTTAAAAGAAAGGAAAGGGAAACAATTTAAGGCCTGAGAGTTAAATTTTAGATTCGACGTTGTTTTTTTTTACTGCTAAGGACGTTTTTTGAAAAAGCTTGCCTAAAGTTCAAACACACCAAAAAATAAAACTTATCTTGAGGGACATCTTGAAGCGGAGGACTCTTATCTTATCCCGCGGTTGATCGGGCCGGGCCCTCATCTTGACCTGGTTCTAAAAATGTAGACTCCACTTCACTACTGTAGTAGAACAGAAACAGGAGCACTGCTGCCCAGGACGGCTATCCGCTTGGTCCTGAAAGTCCTATGTCAACACGCAGGTAACTCGTTCAAATTTTCGCCGGTCAGAAACGTTGTTTGCTAGGAGAATTACAGGCTCGCCTGTTCTTACTCATCCCAAGAGCAAGCTTCACGGGTAACGTCCCAAGTAAGTTCCACCCCAGTCAGTAAGGAGAGAATCCAACTCAATTTTCTTCAAGCCAGTTTTCAAGAGCAACGTCCACAAGTCCAGCCAAACCCGAAAGTCAGCGAGTCCAGAGTCAGTAGTCCAGCAAAAAGTGTGAATCCAACTCGAATTTCCTTCGTCTCCTTCACAAAACGGGCTCCCACTATGGCTTTCACTTATCGCCCCCTTAATTATGGCAAAATCTTCGTTTTCAACTCCAGAATGCGGAAATAAGGGTGATCGCGCATGCGCGCCCTTCTTCACTTAGCCAACAACCGGACCCTCAATCGCCAAAAACCTGAATGACTTACATTGAAAGACAAGTAGCAACCTTTGACCTTTCCGTCACGTACTTTCCTCTCTTAAGGTCAACTAACAATGAAAATTCTTTCTCGAACATTCTAAAGGCGCGCGAAATCATGACTTGGCGAAAATTGCCTCCCTTTCCCCTGCCTTCTTTCACAATGAATAAAAGTTTGTACAAGATTTGCAAATAAAAGAAAATAAATAATATTCATTTATACCAAATAATATTTCCCAGAAGCATCCTGCTTTCTCCCCAAAATTAAAGCCCCAAACTAAATAATTCAGAATCAAAACAAAATTCAAACTTCCATAAATCATAAAATCATTCACATAGTTTTTATAACGCTATCAGATAATTTCTCTACATAACAATATATCTCTGGAACAGAACTGTAAATATATACTGTATAATGTTTCGCACATTTACTTGAATTTAGTATTTTTATGTATCTAATGTTAGTCAGTATTATTGGGTACATATGGGCGCACATCGAATAATTAAAGGTCATGTAAATAGCAAGTAAATAATGTATGAAAACAAACAGTGAGTGTATTAGTTTATACAATGAATGGTACTCACCAGAGCCTTGTATATTTATGTGGTGAACCTGGTGTATATGTATTATGAACCTTGTGTATTAGGTTCTGTATTTTGTAAATCTTCATTAGTCACAATAATTACGCTGTCCATTTTCACGCTAAGGTTTTCCATCTGGCAGGATGATGATACATTGGAAGACATTTACTTAACTTTCACGTCGGTGGTCATCCGATGGCGGACATATATAGATGTTTTTAATATATATGATTAGGGTTTTCCTATAAAAAATAACAACTGAAGAAGTTATAACGTTACGCGCCTACAACTTGCACGCAACCAAGGGTGACTGTGAAGCTTGTATAAACCACAGAGTCTTGTAAAGAGTTTAAGTCCCTTTTTCAACGTAATGAATTACAATTGCGTTCTTGACGTACAACGGTGCCAACTCGGCAGTCCAAATAAAATAAGACCTGAAAAAGAAGTAAAGACAATTTCTAACTACGAGGCTCTCTAAAATAACTAACTCACCGCGTTTACAAAAGCCGCAGCTAATTCAGCAGACTTGAAGCTCACTGGAACAATTGCAACTACTTCCCGCCAAGCACATAGGCCGCAACGCGGGTTCTTCAATTCTCGATTTCTACCTCCGCGCTCGCTAAGTAAGAATAACTCTCACCGAACTCGTTTCCTTCTATTTAAATCATAATACTTCCGCTGATAATTTGAATGCTTGCGCGTTCTACTCAAATTTACATATTCTGGCATTGGCAGTTCCAGGGGAAAGTAAGGCTTGACAGGAAAGATAGTTTAAACTTAAAATGAATGTTAGTTAAAATAAATATAAACCCTACAAAGTAGTGCAAGGTTTTAAACAAGTTTTTAAAGAAAGAATACCAAAATTTATATTGATGGATGAAGGTACTGAATTTACAGAGAAAGCTGCATAAAAGTTTTTTAAAGATTATAATATTAAATGGTTTATAACTAAAAACAAAGAAACCAAATCTGATATAGCAGAGAGATTTAATAGGTTTATTAAAGAAAAAAATATAAAATATATGTACTCTAACAATACTAAAAGATATACTGATGTTTTACCTAAATCGGTTAACATTATAACAATTCCTATCCTAAATCTGTAAAAATGACGCTTAGTAAACCCCTAGTAGAGGCTAGTAAACGCAAAACGGAAATGAAAGTTTATAACAATTTATATTTAGATAAATCAAAGAAGGAGAAACCAAATGTAATGTAGGAGATCATGTTAGATTATCCGGTAAAAGAACTGTAAAATAACCAACCTTTAAGGAAGAGTATTGTATCAAAACTTTATAGAAACAAAATTATCTAAGTAGATATAGAGCTATAGAGTAAAAAATTTAAATGGTGAAGAAATTGAAGGAATATTTGATGACAATGAATGTTAAAATTTAATAAAAAATAATTATGTGTACAATATTGAAAAAAAATTAAAAAAGAAAGGAAATATATATTTAGTAAAATGATTGGTTTATACGGAGTCTTTTAATACATGCATTAATAAGGAGGATTTATATCCCTGACTTTAATAAATGACTTTATTTATTTTGAATTCTGAAGATTATGAAAAATGTGAAGATTTTACCGTTTATTATACATCCCCACTAAAAATTTAAAAAAAATTGCTTTAAAATCAATTCCAATCTGAATTTCTTAGTTTAATATAAGTAAAAATTGTAATAATAACAAAGTAACCATAGAATCTGCATTAGGTGCTAGAGAAATAACTATACCTGATGGAAATTGAAATTGTACAGTTACAGATTTAAATAAATATTTGATAAAATTAATAGGAAATCCCCCCAATAACATTTGGTATTGTAAAAGCAAGACAAAGAATATCAATTAAATTATCTAAAGGATGGAAAATTCATCTAAAAAGGATGAATTTCATAAAATTTTAGGATTTAAGCAAAAACATATAAGGCTCCCGATGATGACACAGAGATAGAAGGTAAACATATTGATGATATATCTGAAAGAAATGATGATATTTATATTCATTATGATATAGTAAAAGGAACTTATGCAAATGGAAAATTCACTGAAGGTATGTCTTCACTTAATAACCTAAATCCACCAGGTAGTATCATTTAAAAAATATTTGAGAAACCTATATTTGTTCCCGTTAAATTAGATGAAATTAGTATTAACGTAATGTAATATACGAGTGTGCTTTCATATGCAAATCAAGAAGTTGAAATTATTATTTCCTGATTTTTACCATAAATAAATGAATATTCACCGATTGTACAGAAAAGAAAAAAAAAAAAAAAAAAAAAAAAGATTTTTTACAGTTTTTGTAAAAACAGTAATAGATAAGCCTCAAAAACAAGCCATACGTAATAAATTAAATTAAATATTTTCAATGAAAAGAAAAGTTTTAAAATTATACATAAATAAATGGGAACGACTTATGACTTAGGAGATCCGAAGTGCCATCATAATAATGAAACTGAAAGTGAAGATCCTATAGAAATTAATAAGGACAGAAATGCAACTAATCAGAGGGAAAATGCTATTTATTATTTTATTATAAAAAAAAAGAAAATAATATTTTGCATTCAAGAAGTTTTCTTCAATTAGAACTAAAAATTTGTAAAATAATAATGATAATATTGGAGAGGAAAATTTAACTTTAAATAGTTTAGGAGGATTTATTTATACAGCACAACTATCTATTGAACATCATAAATACATGCTTCATTAATGACTCATGCTTTTTAAATAATTCATTGTAATCCTGATTATTCCACATCCGAAGATACAAATATACTTTTCTAGCCTGATACTTCAGATAAACCTGATAAAAATTTTATTACTATTAAAGGAAATGATATTGAAGCCCCTAAATTTTCTGTTGTAATAAATAATATAAAATTGAATGAAGATTATAATGTCGGATGTCTTAAGCTGGTCTAATACGAAAAATAGCAATGTTGTAAAAATATGGAGCCTTTCAAAATACATATTTTCTTTCTTTAGATAAAAAAGCACTTACACATTTTGAGATCCAGTTTCAACTTCAGAGAGATAGAAGTGGGAATATGTTATATACTAATGAAAAAAATAGTTATAAAGTAGTTGTTGATTTAAAACTAATGTTAAATCATTATAAGTTTGAAGCAAAGATTTAAAAGGAAAATTTTAAAAGGAAAAAAGAAATAGAAATTGAATGAAATCAATTCAGATTGTTAAAATCCCTTATATTTTCATCTTCATCTGGTACATATGAAATAACATATAACTCTAGACGATTTTTTAAGCTTATATATATTCTCCCTCAATATGTTGAAAGAGAAAAAAGCAACACAAAATAATATGATATTTGATAATTTTTAGATACGCTTGAATGTATTTTATGGTTAATGGAAAGGAATTTCATAATACAAATTATAAAATGTATTTTTCTAAAAATATATTATATGAGTCTGTTCTAAAAGCAGGATTGAATGACATTAATTCTGAAACAGGATTTTTGATAGATTTTTTAAAATTTGAAAAACGATCCTAAATTTTGTTATGATCTCTCTAATCATGCAAGTTATACTTCGATCAGTGATATTGAAATAAATTTTATTTGGACCTAAAAATATAGACTTTATAAAAGAAAAAAGAAATGCATTTTAAATACAGGAGAAATTACTATAAATGAACCTGTAAAATTGCCATTATAATAAATGGTGGCTTATTATCCACCTTTCAGATGAGGAAATAAAAGAAGGACCTGTAAGTCCTCCTGGTATTAGTTTTAAATTAACGTATGATGGAAATTATGATATGTGGAATAAAAAAAAACTGTTTAAATCCTTTACATAATCATGATATTGTTAATAAAGAATTTGTATTAAAATACACAAAAGATAATTATTTTGAATTGAAAAATAAACTGGTTGGAAAAATCGCGAAATTAAGACTGCAAAAAGATTAATGGTACAGCTGGAGATCCTGATGATATTCTAATAAATGAAAGTATATTAGAATTTAAAAAGAAACTAGAAGATAAATATTCAAGTTAAAGATGTTATAGATGCAAGAGAGAGAAGAATAGAAAATGTTGGAAATCCAATAAAAGGTCAAAATGCTGTAACAAAAAAGTTTGTTTGTTATGAAATTTATTCATATGATTTTAATCTTTTATATGCTATTAGTTCGTTTGGAGTTATTGAACTTAAACTAGTGAAAACTGGATTAGTAAAATCTTTACTAGCACAACGTTTTCGAAATTTACAAAATATGGAATATTGAATGAAAATTCTGAATTTTTAATAAAAGATTTTGATAAAATTTCCGCATTTTTAGAATCTATAGCTTCAGATCATAACGAGGATCAAATTAAAAAGGGTTTTCGGCTTCTATGTTTTACTATATATACAAATAAAGATAAATCCTTTTCATGTTTTCTTATAGAGCTGATAAATTAAAATTTCAAGTAAAGAAGAAAATTGTTATTATACCTCATTTTAAAACTTAAGTATTAGACTTGAAACCTGAATTATAGTCTAAATAAATTTATGTTAATTGGTGAGAGGTTCTAGAAACACGTTTTTAATTGAAGATTTAATGAGAAATTTTGAAAATGCTGGGATTTAATTTCTAGATATAAAAAATTTTACTAACCTTTCATCAATGAAATAGAGTTTTTTGGATAATATTTCAGCTTATCAAAACTATTCGAATGGCTTAAGATTATGCACGAAATTTTTCATTAGAAGGGATATTATATTTAAATATCAAGAATAATAAAAAAAATTCTTTTAGGTAACGAACACAAAATAAATTGGGATTCAGTTTCAGAGCATCAGACTTAGGTTTTTTTTCAATATCTAAAAACATACATTTTAATGTCATTTTGTTCCAAAACTTTAGATTTTTATTACTAATTTTTACCCCTCCTAGTGGAGGGGGGCTCATGATAGAAATCTTCTAACATGCACTATGTTTATTAATTTTTAGTAACATTTGACATTTATTCAAAACAATTATTTACAAAGACATTATTACATGACATTATTTATTTCAAAAACTTGATATTTTCGTTTTTCGTGTAATTTTTTAGAGTCTGTCAGATCTAGAAAATATGTAAATACATTTGTTGATAAAAAACTTGAGATGAGATAGAGTCGTTCATGTTTTTGAAAAAGTGCACCAGTATCGATCACTTTGACTCTAGCAATAAATCAAGAAATTTACGTACTGAAAATATTTTGATGGAAAGTTATAGATAAATAATTAACGACGATAAAGAAATTTATAGTGTTTTAAAAACAATACAGCTGATTCCTTAAATTCTTTCTTTACGACTGGATTCCACTACTGATTGGAGACATGTGAAGAAGATCTGGCATGTCTTATGAATTGCGATTTTTGAAGAGGAAAAGAAAGCATTTCTTAAAAGGACTAGATAGTAGAAAATGCTGTAAGACATTGAACTAGATAGTAGAAAATACAGTATGATTAAAAGGACTCCAGGTTTTGGTTTTCTGAATTCATAAACAATAGTACATTTTTGCCCGTTAACTTGCAGTGTTTAGTAGTTAATATAATTTAAGCGCGCCTCGGATTACCATCGCCAAGCTGCACCTCATATTATGCTTCTGGTTTAAACGTTAAGAATAATGTTTTATTACAATGTTGAGATCGTGTGTTTATAGGAACTCTATCAGAATTATGGCTCTTCTTACTCTCCATTTACGAATAATAAGAAAGAAATAAGCACAAAATTGGAGCTACATGAGCCATATATTAACCGTATGTTTGCATTTTCATAATGTACTGATGACAACCAAATGACAGTAAGTATCTGTAGCACGATTCTTCCTTTTCCTCGAAGTACACATTTCTTATTAAATATCCAGAACTGAAGTTCTAGATTTCATGCGCATAATTCCTAAGCTGCAGTTGCATAGAATCATAGAAATATTTTCATTTTATGTGTCAGACAGAAGTGGAAAGTAGACGCAATAAAATCTCCCAGAAAATGTATTCACTTTAGTTAACTTAAAGGTTCTACTTTAGAACTACGTATATTATGATATTAACGACTCAAACTAAAAGTATATGGATTAATAAGTTTGGCTTAAACAAATTAATAATATGTATAAAATAAGTAATATAAGAAAATTTGCTTTTTCAAAAATATGCCTTTAAACCCTGACGTATTTGCATGTATTTTATTCAATATGTAATAATATCTATAAATAAATTTCTTGTAAACTAATGAAAACTCTTATAATTTTTGAGTAATTATCATATTTTTTTAGGTACAAATGCAGAAGAAGGACGTGCATTAGCTTATTCTATATGTGAAGAGCTTCTCATGACAAAAGTTTGTAAAAATGATTGTAATTAACTTCAATGCAATTAGAAATTCAGGTGTAATTTTAAAATATTAAATTTAATTCAGTATTTACAATAAATAACAATACTTAAAAATCACTTTTCAATATTTACATAAATATTTTTTTAAACATAACAACTATTTCTTTACTTAAATATTTCACATTTAATAAATTAGCTACACCCTAATTTGTTACAGTAAATTCTAAATTTACAAATAATACAGTACATCCTAAATAATCAAATAATTACAGTAAATCCTTAATTTATTAATATTTAATTTTTATTAATGAAATATTGGTAATATTTACACATTTTTGAAGGTGATGTAAATTAATATGTTTTTGTAATTCTAGGCTTTTATATTTTGTTCAACTCATTTTATGGAGTTAACTAGATTACCGTTAGTCTACCCTAATGCTGAAAAGTATGTTTTCAAAATTTTTATAATAGTTCTATAAAAAGTCTTGTAGTTAAACTATAGCAATTTAGTATGGGAATTCGAGAAAGGTGGCTATAATCTTTATTTCTTTATATCTCGATTTTAGATAAATACTTCAAATTATCAATTTTCTCAAAAGAAGATAGAAAATATGAGAAAAATTGGGGTTAGAACGGTGTTTAAAATAGACATTTTTATGTGCTCCCCTATTGAGGAAAATCCCATTTAATATAATGTTCATTATGAGCTAGTAAGTTAAATGCAAAGAAAATTAATATTAAAATTATATTTTCTCGAGGTTATTCGTGATTCTACAAAGTTGTTGAAAGCCTCTCTTTTAGCTAATACAGTTCCATAACCAACAAAACTAGGTATTTTTGCTTTGTTTTCTAAAATTTAGAAAAAATTTCCCGACTTGTTAAATTTCGTTTTTTTATAAGTTTTCTAAATCACCATAGTTCCTATTTGTTCTGCATTACTTTGAATATTAAGCATATAATGAAATTTCTTTTATTTACCTTATTAGTACTTAATGAACATTTTACTAACTGAACATTTTGCTCTACAAAAACCGTATAAAAATTAGATTTTTATAGTTTCAAAAGTGTTAAGTCTTTCAATGCTGAATGGGCTCTGATGATATAATATACTCTAACTTATTTCAAGTAACTCTTTGAATGAAAATGTATGCCACAGATCAATATTTAAGAAAATAAAGCTTATAGTCACCTTTTACAAACACCCTACGTATGCTTGTACAGTAGAGTCCCGCAAACTCACGAAATCTCGACATTCCGTTTAATTCGACAACTTTTTAGGAACTCTTTAAGATATCTCTAGGCCAAACAAATATTACAGTATTTATAATTATTATTTATGCGTATGTCTTTGTCCTATTCAAGGATTTGAGTGTTCTTTTTCTGCAATTTTTGTCGTTTTCACATTGTGTCATTAATTTTTGGAACTGCTTAACAAATTTCAAAATATGATGTAATACTTGGCAACGGTGTTTGCTTCTTTCGAGGATACAAAGAAAGTCAGGTAGCGGCTGGCCGCTGGCTCACATTCTTTTTTATTGATGCGAGACGTTAGGAGACTGTGTGGGAAGTTTTATGACTGAATCTCATTGCAAACTAAACTGACGTCAGTTCATTGCTGATATCGTTCCTCAGTTCCCATCCACGCGCATAAATGTTAACATATTTTTGGAAACTTTTGATTTTCTGTGAAGTGAAAATTTCTTTCGAAAAGAAAAGAAAACAAACTAACATGACAATGGAAATGAAACTAGATGCCTTAAAGAGATTTAACAAAGGGGAAAGTGTAAACAAAATTACCATGGATTTAGGTATTGGACAAACGGAAATCGATTCTTGGTGTACGAAAAGAAGCATGTACGGATAGTTGAAAGGAGAGAAAAAATATTGAAAGGTGATGAATACGAAAAAGTGACGAGGCGCTTTATTCGTGGTTCGGGCAGCGAAGGGAACAAAGAACACCCATTTCAGGACCAATTTTACTAGAGAAAGCCCTAATACTTTATGATGAATTTCAAGGACAGCCTGGATTTACTACTAGTGCTGGCTGGCTCGACAGATGGAAAATGTGGCATCAGGCACTTAAAAGTTTGTGGAGAAAAGCTACCTGTTAACTTGTAAAATGTTGCAATGTACAAGGATAATTTCGTCAAACCAATTGAAAAGGAGGGAATATCTGGAGATCAAGTTTATGATTGTGATGAGACAGGTCTGAATTTTCGAATGCTACTTTCAAAAACAGTGGCATCTAGGAGAGAAAAATAGGCACCAGGCTACAAAAGAAGCAAGGAGAGAGTCACAATCTTGGCATGCGGCAATGCAACAGGCAGGCATAAGCTCAAACTACTCAAACTAATGCGTATAAGCAAATAAAAAAAATTTCGAGATTTTAAAAATGTAAAAAAGTACACTAATGGAACCGAAACCAACTGTCATCTTCCTGTTTGGTACCGGAATCAGTCAAAGGCATGGATGAATGAAGCAATATTTAATGATTGCTTTCATCAGTAGTTCGTTCCATCGGTGGAAAAGTTTTCAAAATAAAAAAAATCTACCAAGCAATAGTTATTCAGAATTTGTAATTTGAAAAGTAAAATCTACCAAGAAAGGAAGCTATTCACATTCTAGACAATATTCCATCCCATCCTGATGCGAATAGTTATGAGACGAAGATATAAGAGCCATGTTTCTTCTTTCTAACGTAACCTAGAATATGATTAATCTGTTATACATATCGATGATCCCGTCATCAATTAGTCTCTTCTATAACCACAGTCCCCCCCCAAACCATGCAGCAAAAAGCTTAGCTGTAAATAACTAAACGAAATACCAAGGTCAGGGAAATCTTCCTTAACACACGTGAGATTACCGATCACTCACAGAGTAAGCTCTAGAATGCAATTTAGCTAACTCTTTGACCAGCAGTTTCTCTGAAATCACTCAGAACTAATTAGAAATTGACTGACTGCTGAATATCGCAGTCGTAAATATCGCCTTGCCCTCTGAAAACTTCGGTAAAAATTGTTTCTAGGGCTTCAAAAATGCGTTTTCCCAAAAGATCCAGAATATCAGCAAGCTGACGGGAGATTGCCAAATGTCACCAAGGCCCGTCAGGACAGTTTTTGCTACCTCTAGGCTTCTACTTGAGCTAATTTCATAAATGATACTTTGCTGTATTCAAAAACACTAGGTCTAAAATCCTATACATTAAATTACATATAAAATAAGTATCCACACATCCATTTACACAAATATGCAATGTAAATTTATTAATAAATAAAACAATATATAGCATTACAACAATACACAGAAATAGAGACGCAAATAGGTTAAAATGTTTACAGAAATTTCCAACGCCAATTTTCATCCGATCATATATGCCAGGCATCATTAATAACATATTATTATCATCATTAAATTGCGGTAACAGCATTCTTAAATGAGGAAATAGTCTCTTGTAAATGTTTAACAGAATTTCCCCCTTTAACTCTTGCCCTTGACAAATAAACAATGAATCTGTGACCTTTCTCCTTCCCTTTTTTACGTTATTGTACTGAACGGTGTTAAATTTATGCTGCACGTTTTAAATAATGGGCATTGTCAATCCCTTTTAGCCTCCATTTTATGTGTTTGTGCTATGAAGAATTATGCTTCAAATAAAAAAAAAAGTTTCAGCTATCCATGATTGCTTTTTTTAAAGGGGATATGTACCGTATGTCAGCATCTTCTTCATTTCTACATTAAAATTTATTTGTTGTGTTCAGGATGATAAAAAATATCTAGCAAAAATAAATAAGTCTGGTAAATAAGCAAACTTGGAATAACAATAATGGAATGTGTGTAAAGATAAAAGTATTCTGCTGTACTACTTAAACATGCCATTACTGTACTACCTAAACACATATTCCATTACAAAACCTACTTATTCCGGTTCCATCCAACTGCCTTTATATTTTCGGTAAATAATTTTGAATCATCTTGTATGTGGATATATAATAACTATGAAATGACTTATACGTGAATGAATATAAGTTATTTTATAGCTTTCATCGGCATCAAAACAAATAAGCACTTTACTCTACTCTTTTTCAAAAGTGAGATGAGTTCGAAGGAATGTATTACAAGAAAGGCGCCGTAACATAATACGAACTCAAAATAAGAATAATCGTGAAATTTCTGATTTCTTTTAATTGCATCCATGAATTGTAAGTACTATCGTTGGAAAGCGGAAATATCTAAGAACTGTGTGTCATTAGATCAAAGATGAACTGGGAAACAAATTATAATAAGACCCAAGTTGCAGAGTACTGGCACTCATTTATTGAAACGTTTCTGTGGGGTAATTTCAGAGCCCCTCTGAAGACAAATTCTGAATGACTATTGTTTTCAGGAACTTCAGAGATTGTATGCTTAATAATCAAGTAGCTACAAATAAGTTTTCTATCAATCACGAAAATAGCGTGAAGTGCAGTGGTATAAGTACATCGTCAGTGGATTATGGAGAAATTGAAAAATGTTCTGTGGAACTCGTTTCAAATGGGTAAATGTGGGTTTAAAAAGGTACAACAGGGCAATAAACCTTCTTGAATATACTAGTTCGCCGCTCGTGAAATTTGGTGCAGGGGTATAACAGTACGGAGTTGTTTCGCATAACTGAGGTTCGCTTAATTCCTGTGGCTAATATTTTGAAGACAAGGCTATTAAGAGTTTTCATCTTCGGGGAACTAGTTTGACGAAGCAGAAACGTATTGCGCTCTTCACGAACAAGGCATTCATAAGGAGTTTTATTAAAGTGGATCCGACTTTCGATTGTACTACGTACAGCCTTGATTCCAATAGAATCAGTGACGTCTGTCATGAAATGTAAAGCTCAATTCACTCCAAATCAAATGGCTTATTTGTGAATAAAAATCTAATATTTGCCCTGTGATACCTGTTTCATAGTTGAAGCAAACTCCATCGATGGAACATAGCAATGACTTTATTTAGCACATTTATTTCACAAGATGAAAGATAAATTTAAATCAAGAAAAATTGCGACATGTAAAAACGAAAAGAAAACGTCTTATAACTTTTTAAAATTAAATTAATTAATTTTTTAACAGCCACGGCTCTCGAGCCTCCGTTTCATTCACTGCAGGCAATATATACATTATTCTTCATCTACTTTAATCGCACAAGATTTTACCAACAATATTTAAGGCTGCTACAGCTCTTCACTAGAAGACAGCAGAATTCTTGAAGAATACTGGTTGTAATATTTAAAAATATAGAAGAAAAATGTTGTCATATGTGTGCAAATTATTGAAAAAACAAAGTACGGACTAAATTTACACTGATATATTTCAAAATATAGTTTGCTTACTGAATATTAGATGTCTGGATACGTGCGGTTATATAAGCTGTACTTTCAAATATACAAATATACATAATCTACATAGAAAGCTA